CATGATTTTCAACTCCATTATATTGCATGTTGCAGACTTGCGTATTGCTGCTGCTTGATGCATGCTGGAAACCAGTAGCCCCACCAAAATCACTTTGATAAAAATCTTCATGGACTTGGTTTTGCGTGTCAAGAGTTGCAAAATCAATTTTGGTTGATGACATTGGGGAAATTGTTGTCACAGCCTCTTCTTCTTCTTCAAAAATAAAATCACGAGCCTTATCTCCATTTGATTCTTCCGCTTCAATAAACCTTGCACTATTTGTTTCAAATATTCTCGTATGTAAGGTTGGAGCATAAAACCTGTACCCCTTTGATCTCTCGGGAAAACCAATAAAAATGCAGCTTACAGTCTTAGAGTCAAGTTTCTTTGCCTCTGGATTGTACATTTTTGCTTCTGCCTTACATCCCCATACATGAAGGTGATTCAAACTAGGTTTTCTTGAAGTCCAAAGTTGAAATGGAGTCTTGTGCACGGATTTACTTGGGACTCTATTCGATATATAATTTGCCATTTTAAGAGCCTCACCCCATAGAAACATAGGAAGATCAGTCCTACTCATCATGCATCTCACCATTTCGATCAAGGTCCTATTCTTTCTCTCGGCTACACCATTTTGCTGTGGTGTTCCGGGAGTAGTATACTGAGCTTGAATCCCGTTTTCTTCCAAGAACATGGCCATTGGACCCTTTTGTTGACCTTTCTCTGTGTACCTGCCATAATACTCCCCTCCACGGTCCGATCTCAAGATTTTAATTTTCTTTTCTAGTTGTCTTTCCACTTCATTTTTGAAATTTTTAAAACAATCAAACACTTGATTTTTCTCGGATATCAGATATACATATGCATATCGAGAAAAATCATCAATGAAAGACACAAAATAGGCATTTTTGCAGATTGTTTGCGTGGAGAAAGGTCCACAAACATCTGAATGGACGACTTCTAAGAGGTTAAGACTTCTTGTGGAACCAATTTTCCTTGTGTTTGTTAATTTCCCTTTCCAACAGTCAATACAATTTTGCATATCATTAAAATCCAACGTTGGAAGCATTTGTTCTTTAACTAGAATTTCTAATCTTTGCTTGTTAATATGTCCAAGCCTTCTATGCCAAAGCATTGAAGACCCTTCATTTGTCAGAGACCTTTTCAAAGATAAATTTGATTCCACTGTCAAACATTTTGAATTTAACATTACTTGACAATTCATCCTCCAAAGATCATTGTTTAAAAAACAATTACCAAGCAAAAGATTCATATTACTTTTCTTATAAATCCGTACACTTTCATCATCCCCAACAAAAACATAACCGTCTTTTACAAGCTTTGAAGCAGAAATTAAACTTCTAGTTAACCTAGGAACATAAAGAACATCTAGCAACTGTAAAACGAAACCACTTGACAACTTGAGCTTTAGGGTGCCTATTGCCTCCACAGCTACTTTATTCCCATCCCCAACGTGGACATCATAGACCTCATTTCTTGAAATTTCCCTTCTTGTGAACCCCTGCAAAGAATTGGTAATATGCACCGAACAACCAGTGTCAAACCACCAAGAATTTTTAGGGATTTCAACAAGATTAACATTAACACAGACAAAAACATTTTCAATTTTATTACCTTTCTTAGGTGCCCATTTCTTTCGTTTTTCACAGTCCCTCTTCAAGTGACCAAATTCTTTGCAGAAATAACATTTAATATTTTCAATGTTGCCTTTAAAACCTTGAGATCCCTTGGAGGATGATGGAGTATCATTTCCAGCAGCATGAGAATAGGAAAAAGGTTTATATGGCTTACCAGATGTCGAGATAGTTTTCCTCGTAGTCTCTGCCTTTATGAAATTCACTGTTTCATTTGACACCCTTTTGATCCTGCTTTCTTCTTGAACACATATGGAAATGAGATCATTCAGACTCCACTTCTCCTTTTGTGTGTTGTATGACGTCTTCAGTTGTTCATATGCATCTGGGAGGGAATTAAGGGCCATATGAACAACAAAAGCATCATCAATGGGAACCTCCAGGTCTGTGAGCTTCGCAGCAGCCTCCACTAGCTTCAGAATGTGTTCTCTGACAGTGCCTTTCCCATGATATTTCAGAGTTGTCAAGGTAGTCATGAGGTTTCCCATCTCTCCCTTCTCTGAAACCTTAAATTTTGCCTCAATTGCCTCCAGGAAATCCTTCGCTTTGTCAGTTGCAGGAATGCCTCCTCTAACAGCTTCACTAATGGATCGTTTGATCACCAATAGTGCCATGCAATTCGCTTTCTCCCATTTTTCAAGTTTCAACCTTTGTTCAACGGTGCTATTGTTATCCAGTGCTTGTGGTTCATCTTCCCTCAGTGCCAGATCGTAGTCCATTAGTCCAAGAATAATCTCCACATCCTGTCTCCATTTTTTTGTAATTTCCTCCACTTAAAGGTTCAATAGAGGAAAAATTCATTGAAGTGGGATTCACTGCAGAAGCCATGTGGTTAGACATTATGAAAACAATGAAGTAGGGAAAACACAGTAAGATACAACACCTTTGGGTGAGGAACATTTACTGCAAGAACTTAATCCATGCATAGCCATTTAGTTATTTGTTAAAAATATTTCAAAACTCAAGTCTTTAGACAAGAATCCGAAACACAGTTAACCATTCACCAAAACTATGCCCTCTTCCATTAATCGAACCATTCATACGTTGCCTTCTTTAGAAGATCTTATATGCATGTTATGATTAAATGAACTACGAATTCCCATACTTCTGATTTCTTAGTTTAACATTTCAATATGAACCCATTTTGATGTAGTTCATACGATCAATTATACTAAGAAAACAAATCCACACACGATCCTCCTTTATTCTGCAGTCACTGCAGAAGCAATAAGAAGTATAGATACATATATACAAAAACTTGAATCTCAGTGAGACTAAAAAAGCTCTGATACCAATTGTTAGAATAAGCATTTAGTCCCAAGCTAAGATTACAATAAACAATAAGATGATTTGAGTGAATGAATCAGTGTACATACATATATATATATATATATATATATACACACCTGCAGAAGCCATGTGAAGTAATGCGATCACACTGAAAAGAAGTTAACAGAAAGTCTTCTACTCACACAGCCCTTATGTCCAATACTAGCGATAGTCTAGTGATCAAGTGAACTGATTCTGGTGAGCAGGGAGGTTCATATTTATAGGCTATATTCCTAACATGATCCCAGCTATCATGGGATCAGTTAATACCTATTATCTTTTACATCAAAATGGGATAAGATTTAACACTTCCACAATCCCTTAATTCCAGGAGATTAGTCTCCCACAATCCCTTAATTCTAGGAGATTAGTCTCCCACATTCCCTTAATTCCAGGAGACTTGTCTCCCACATTCCCTTAATTCCAGGAGACAAGTTGTTGACATGGTCATGACTTCTGATTGATTCAATCCACGTTTTTAGGTATCCTTATCATGATACGGAAGTTCAAAACCTAACAGGAGCAAGAGGTGGCTGAGCTACAGCAAGCCCTTGCGGATAAGACAGAGCAAGGGACTGCAATGCTTAAGGTTTAAATTAACTCGTTTTGTCATTTGATGGGGGGAGAGCAGAGGGAAGATGATCACTTGTTTTTTTTCCTGTCCAGGTCTTGATGTGGATGGAGGAAGAGCAAAAGGTTACTGAAGATGCCCGACTAGGAGCCGAGCAAGAAGCAGCCGCTCAGAAAAGTGAGTTAATGTGCTTCAGGTACCTTTATTTTCCTTGACGTCCTGATATATTAGTGTGCTTATGGGATGCATCTTATATCAATGTATTTTAGATTGGGATGCCTATTTGAAGCCATCTCCTAACATTTTGGAAGCTTTCTTGCTCTTAGTTGGGAAAAATATTACCGAGAAGACAATGTTGGTCGTTTTCTAGCATTCCTTGCAGCTATTCATTAAAGGAAATTGTGCCCAGTTTTTTAATTAATTCTCGGATCATGCACCATCTCATTATCCTCTTAGCTTTCTAAGAAACCCATATATTCTTGTATAATGCATCACAGTAAAGAAAATGGCTGAATGAGAAAGTTGAATGTTAATTTCTTGGCGGGTTGTTTCATTTTCTTTTCTTCGGAAACTCCAGATCTCATAATCTGAATGTCATTTGTTTTCCATCTTTTAGAACATGAATATATCTATTTCTCAACAGAGTAGCGTATATGCAGGAAAAATATGACAAAGCTATGTCTTCACGTACTGAGATGGAAAAGAGAGTAAAAGTAGCGGAGTCGATGTTGGAGGCTACATTGCAATATGAATCTGGTCAAGCCAAAGTGGTTCGTGGGGCTGGGAACAGACAGGGAAACACCACAAAAAAGATGGGCATTCTATCATTTGGACTTGGTTGGCGTGACAGAAATAAGGTATATAGTTTTACATTTTCTGTATTGATCGCTGGTGCCCGTTATGTTCATACCAAGACATAGTTGAGCTGAGGTTCTTTTAATCTTAACCTGGTGCATGCTTCTAAACCCATTTTGATTTCTGTTTGTAACCCCTCCCCCTCTTTTTTTACAGGGATCCACTGACCTGAAATCACCGAATCAACAGAGAGAACCGAGCAGTCCAAAGGAGAAAACTGGCGAGGAAGGGAAAGACCAGGTAGCAGAAAAGTGATGGATACCCCTTTCATTGCCATGAAACAGAGATTGAAGCAGCTGCTGCCTATGCACGTCTTTGTTTGCTTTCCTCTTTTGTATTTATATACTGGTGGCTGAGGGAAGCCAGCCATCAATCTGTAGACTTGTCAATTTTCAGCAGCGGGTTCGGTTCACCCCTAGACGGTCAGAATGTAAAGCATATTAGTTCTTTGTTTAATAGTCATTTGTTTACAATAATGACGTTCAAAATCAGTTGTGGCCTCTGTTAATGATATCATCTTCATTACCAGCAAGTAGGAACATTCTTTCTTTTGTTTATTGGATTCAGAAAACCGGATAAGAATAACTGTAATTCCCGGCTCTCCTCCATTAATGGATCGGAGCTGGAGACGATGAAGCCATTTCTGTATGCACTGCCTCGACTACATTATCTGTATGCACTGCCTCGACCACATTCTCCGTATGCACTGCCTCGACTACATTATCCGTATGCACTGCCTCGACTACATTATCCGTATGCACTGCCTCGACCACATTCTCTGTACGCACTGCCTCGACTACATTCTCTGTATTCTCTCTAAACTTTTTGTATACATTATCCGTATGCACTGCCTCGACCACATTATCCGTATGCACTGCCTCGACTACATTCTCTGTATTCTCTCTAAACTTTTTGTATATGTCACTTCTGTAGAATTTAAACGTTCTCATCAGCAAAATAAGTGAAGCGAGAGCTGAAACAAGTGTCGTTGCAGTCAAAACTGTAAACGACAGCTTATAACATCGAGTGCCAATACATGTTAGATCCTGGCCCTTGATCCTGTGCAGACCCAGCCTAGCAAGCTCCTTCTCTGCCTCTTTGTCATAGAGCATTCCGGTGACCCTCACATTGAGTAAATAACTCCCGAGGGGACTCGCCAAATGTCCACAATTGAAGAGGGTGGAGTAGTACTTCAACCCGAAAACTTCAGAAATGATTGCCAAAGCCAGTGGTAACTGAGCGCCGAGAGTAAACCCGATGATGACTGAAGCAATGTACAGCGAACCAGGGAATGCAAAAGCAACGAGAAGGTAGGCAATGCCTTCTAGTGTAAGAACAACAGTGAGCATAAGGGGTCTTGGGATTTTATACCTTGTCAGTAAAATTTCGGAGACGAAACCAGAAAAGATTCGGCCGAAGAAGTTCCATATGCTGATGAGTGACACAAATGTGTTTATGGTCTGAGGTTTGTAACCCAAAGCTTCGCCGATTTGGCCAAGGTTGTCGGTAGCAGTGAAGCTCGATCCAAGTCCAAATAATGTTGCAATGAATATGAGTAGCATGTCAATGCTCAAGATTGCTTGTAAAATGGTGTAGTCTTCTCCTCTTGGTGGTTTCTTGAAAATGTTTGAGAAGAATGACGTACCTTTCGGCTTGATCTCTTGATCCAACTCTAGTTCTTGTGTTTCCTCTAAGGCTATTCGACGGGGTTCTTGTTTCGTCAGTGTCCAGCTGACTAACTCCTCTCTGATGATAATCACGAGAGGAATCAAAAGCAGGAAGCAAACCACCGCGGCAGTCGTAGCTTGGGCTACCCGAGGGAAGACAACCGATTTCTGAGTCAGAGTCATTGCCATGAGAAACAAGGCAAGAACAATCGAAACGTACAGAAAGCGAAAAAACACTTTGTGTTGTCGTTTTTGTTGTTGATTTTCAACAGCTGCTGTGATTTTTATCGGACGAATCGTGCACAGAAACACAACTGAGATTGCAGCAGGGAGCCAACCGATGAGAAGAATTAGAGCTCTCCTGTCCTGAAATCCATACAATGCTAGATATATTTGGGTGATGATAGCCCCACTGAGGCCGATGTACCCTTTGAGGAGGCCAATCATGATGCCGCGGCTTTGTGGGAAGTTTTTGACGCAAGTAACCATAACTCCTGTGTTCACAAAGCTCAGAGAATTTGCTGCAATGTACATGTAGACACACATGTGCCAGATTTCTGGCTTCGCGATCTTTCCTCTGACGCCTAACCACATCATGAAGTAGCCGAAGAAGTTCATGGCAGCCCCAATGAGGAGCACAAGCCACGTTGGTGTTACCTCGGCTATTAAGCCTGCGAAAATGCCGATGTTGGCCCCAAGGTCTTTGAAGAACCCCAGCAGGTTGAGGGTTTCTTGGTCATAGCCAAAGGTGGTTTTGAGCTCTTTGGAATAGGTTCCAAACAGATAAATTGTACCTGAACCAGACATCACCATCAACGAAGCGAAAACGGAAAACCATCGGCTTTTTGCCGCGAAAATTACGAAACTCGGTAGATTTCCGGTGCACCCAGTTAATGGTCTTGGTGGTGCCTCACTCATTTTAGTTAGCTCTCAGTTTTTGGTTTGGGAGGATTAGCAAATGGATTACATGTTTTACCATGAAAACATTATTTCTTGCTACCAAAAAAAGAAACAAAAATCAATATTCACTTGGAAAATTGTTTTTGTTTGGCATTTATATTTTTTCTTTATCGGAATTCTTAGGCATTATCCTTAAAAAAAAAAAAATTCTTAATAATTAGTTTTATCTTTTTACGTTTTTCTAACAAGATTTGGAGATTTTCTAGTATATTTCGGAGTTTTTACCGTCAGATTATTGGTCAAAGACCATGATCCAAATGCTAAAAATCCAAAAGTATAGGGTACCCTAAAGCACCATATAATTTTCGTCAAATTAGTTGCACATTTTCAGGAGCCTCAGAACCACCAAACTGCAGGAAAAATCCCATACTCCAGAAAACAGCTAGTGCTAGAGACAGTAAAATTAGGAAGTAAAATAAATAGTTTATTTCTCATGGTCAAGTATTTTTCCAAATGATAAGCATAATCATACGCAATACAGATAAATTTACAGTCTAACGAAGCATAAATCTTGTGTATTATTTATAAAACTTGCCTGGCACTCTAAGCCAAGTTCATCCATCCATTCACATATACAAACACTTCTCATTCCAAGCATTCACAGGCTTTTCATACAAACGAAAGAAAAAGTAATACAAAGCAATCTTGACAGGGTTTGGAAATTACACTTTACACAACACAGCAGAACTATACCCCAAAAAACTTGAAAAGAGAAGGTAGTATGAAACGAAACCTCGGGATCTACAGATATTTGAAGAATAAAGATGTAAAAATACAAATGAAAAATCACTGCACGAAGGCACACAAATATATAATACGGAATTCCGGCTCTGTATATATTCAAGAAGAAAAAACAAAGAAGAGACTATTTTCTGATGATGACTGATGAGACACGAAATGGAGATGGGAAGAAACCTTCAGAATTAGGATCTGATGGCATGTTATCATCCACGATAAATATCAGTTCAGACTCCAAACCGTAAGAGCATCTATCAGGTATTATCATAACATTGCGCTGGTTGGCATGTCCACTACCACAATTGAGCTTCCTTTTCAATATCCCTCTTGGTTCTAGGGGGAGTACAAGGGGCAAGACGGGAGCCTTGGACTGGCTCTGTTTCATGGTCATACTTCTGTGAAGCAAGGTAAGTCAAAGCTGTGACGACATCAGCTATAACTGGCCGCATATTAGGCTTCTCCTGAACACACATTGCCGCAACTGCAAGAGCTTGGTACAACCCCCTTCGGGGATACTGACCCCGGAGCGTTGGGTCTGCCATTTGCGATAGTTTCTTTCGGCCTTTAAACAAGGCTCTTGCCTGAAAAAACAAAGTAGTAACAAGTGAGTGTTAAATATCAGAATAATTTCTGATATGTAGAATTCTTTATTGATGGTCAGTCATTGATGGAGTTTTGAGCTCCCATTGTCCCACATCGGGAAACAACAATTTGTCAAAGGCCTATATAGCTCAAGTCCTTTTTATTAGTGATTAGGTGTTGGACCATTTGGAATGAGAATTGAGGTTTGGGCTACTAATTGTGTGGATTAGACTTGATGATTATACTATAATATTAATATAAATTAATATTAATTAATCAAGACAAGGGCCTTGGGAAGAGTTTTAATTTCGAATTAGTTTTAATTAAATTAATAAAAAAACATTTTGATTAATAGACACAACTCTTTGGAAAGAGTTGTATGGCTTTAGATACATCCGAAAGGTGTTTGAAGATGTATGAAAGGAGCCTATATAACTGGAGTCCTCAGTTGCTTCAAAGATATCCTTTCTTCCTCTTTTTCTTCCGTACAAAATTCTTAGAGAGTAAACATACACAGCAATTCGCTGGAATTCTATAATTCAGTGCGGGTTGTAGAATTAGGTTGTTGTATCCTGGTCGAGCAGACGTTGTAGAACCACAAGCATAAGAGTGGGACGGAAATACTGTTCGAAGGACATAACTTTTGCGCTAGCCTCTACCTTCGATTCATTCAAGTTAGTATTATTATAATCTTTGTATTTATTGTGTAATTGTATTCTATATTGCAAGTTGTTTTGAATAATAAAACATAAGTATTTTAATTTTGTATTTTTGTTATTTGTTGTTTCGAAATTGTTCTCCAACAGTTATATTATTAACAATATGAAAGAGCTAAAAAAAAAGGGAATATGAACGAGCTCAAAAGGCTTCATTACTTAAAAGAATATGAAACATGTAAACCGAACGGAGTTTCTTACCCACGCAACCAAAATCTGTTCTCCTGCACCTCTGGTATTGTCAATCGCTGTCCTGCCTGTTATAATTTCCAAAAGAACTACGCCAAAGCTATAAACGTCTGATTTAAGAGTCAATTGCCCTGTCATTGCATACTCTGGAGCACAATATCCAATATTTATCGTAACCGTTATAGTGTTATCCCCAACAGGTCCAAGTTTGGCTAAACCAAAATCAGACAGCTTTGGATGATACCCTTCACCGAGCAATATGTTGGAGCTTTTCAAATTTCTGTGCATAACAGGAGGACTTGCCTTGTCATGTAGATACTCCAATCCCTTCGCTGCCCCAGCGGCTATGTTCATTCGTGTATTCCAATCAAGTCCTCTCTTACCTGGTAACACATCTGCAAAAGAAGCTTATGAAACCAGTTCCACCGAAAAGCTAACTAATGAATCATTAAAGGTTAAGAAGCATCTGAAATTTGAAAGTTAATGCAAAAGGCTATAGACACCATGTAAATGGTCGTCCAATGACCCTAGGGGCATATATTCATAAACAAGAAGCCTTTGATCTCCATCCGCACAATAACCAATAAGATTAACAAGATTGGAGTGGTGAAGAAGACTCAACATCAACACTTCAACAAGGAATTCCCTGTTCCCTTGTAATCCATCACGATCAAGTTGTTTGATAGCTACTACCTACATCAAACACAACGATAAGTTTCAAATTCCTTGACCAACTACATCGAACGCATATTAGAAGGTAAATCTCCTAGTGAGCTAGAATCTTCATCCCATGCTTTGCAATCTGTAGTCTATGAAGAAAATTTCAAAATGATCATTCCCCAATCCACCCCAACCCAAAAAAGGGAAAAAAAAAAAAAAAATTCAAACAATCTACACACGTATATGTGTAAAGCACTCGTAAAACATCTTCGGGCTGCATTTTTGTTTCATGATCAATGAAATAAAAAGACAACCATGACTAACCTGATTTGTACTTTTCAAATGTCCTTTGAATACTAATCCAAATCCACCTCCACCTCCACCCAAAAGACATTGTGGCCTGAAATTTCTAGTTGCAGCTGCCAATTCACGGAATACAAAAGTCTGTGCTGCAATGTGATCAGACCCTCCATCTTTTGGATCCTCCTTGACACTCAAAATGGAACTAGTCTTTGAAAAACCTAAAATCAAACATGGAAAAGAAGTGAGAACTTTTATTAGATAAAAAGTATGAGTGATTTCATTCACAATGGAGAAAATAACCAACCTAAATTGTAATAAAGACTAAGCGGGATTTTACGGATGATGCCAAGCTAACCGAAAACAATCCTACGTGGCTATATGCAATACCAGGAGTAACAATGCTACAAAGATTCCTTCTTTACCAGTGCATTGTATGATGTGCCATCATAATTCATATTTAACTACAACAACAGTTCATACCCTATCAAAGTCAATCCCAAAGTTATCTCAAAATTTGAAAAATTCTACTCAAGGGCACTAATCTGCATACTAAAATCCGAACAAAATAAACTTCACATGAAATATCTAATCTTCTGCAAAATTTAAAAGAAACCCAGATGGATAAAAACAATTACCAAGCCAGTAAATTCATCTGTTAATCACCAGCAGCACAGTTTGAGGTAAATTTAGATAAACCAGTAAGTACCTGAAGTGGGTTTGATCTGATCAAGTGGCTTAACCTGCAACTCAATCTTGTTCTTCCTTTTCTTCTTTGTTTTTGCTTTACCGTTGGAATTACCGAAACAGGGAATCATCATCCAACCCATGATTTATGTTACTGTTTGAGAAGCCAAAGACTCAAAAAGAGAAAAAAGCAGCAGTTAGAACAAGCAGTCTCCACAGAGACCCTTCAAACCTTCCCCAACTTCCCCAAAAGCAAAAACCCCACACGAGCTACTCACTCAGATAACGCGAGCTTATAAATTTGTATATCGAAAAGCTGGAACTTAGAAGTAAGCACATTTTTTATTCCACCAACTCTGATTTTTCTTTCTTTTTTTTGGGTGTCATGAGATATATTTGAGAATCGGACACCAAATTTCGGTAAAAGATTCGACCTGTTGTAAATCAGTGGATGTCCGCTCATCCAAAAGAATAAAGATAGCTGTCAACCAAGTTGGTTTCAGTGCCTTCCAACCTTGGCCATCAAGTTTCTCCAATTATTTTGATTAACAAAACAAGTTGGTTTCTGTTATAAAATAAGGGGAGCACAAGACAGGGCAGAGAAGAGAAAAGAAAAGAGAGAAAAAAGAGAACAGAGAATAGAGATAGTTATCTTTGTAATCTTATTATTTCAGATTATAAAATAAAGCACTATTGCTGCCTTGATGATGTATTCCAACTGCACTGACTATATAGGATCCTTGTGTCTTATTTCATTTATTCCACTGCACACATACCGCCGAATTCACAACATGTTATCAGCACGAAAAGCTCTTATATCAGTGGAAAGCACAACGCCACACATTTGGTTCACCTCTGTCAGTTGGAATCTTACAGATAAGAAAATTTTTTCATTTCATTCTCAAATCTATGTACTACTGATTTTCTTGAAGCAACTATATATATATGTTGTTGTATGACTATATATCATCATTTGTAGAAGCAAAAGAGTACATACTCAAAATCCGTAGAGAATCTGACAGTCATGTAAACAATCTCGGAAATCCAACTTGCTAACCTCGGATTGAAATACTTTCTTCCTGAAAG